TAGGACTGCTGAGGCCCACTCCAGGCCCTGCTTGCCTGGGGATCACCTGCAGCAGCTGCAGAACAGTAAGGGTTGCTACCAGTTTCTTCTTCTGCTATCTTTGTCCCAGAAGGATACCCACCAAATGTCAGTCTGATCTCTCCTTTATGAGGTGACTCTTTGGATGTACGGGGTCAGGGAACTGCTTGAGGAGATAGTCTGTCCTTTGTAGGAGCTCAGGTGCTGAGCTGTGAGCTCCGTTGTTCATTCAGAGCTGCTGGGCAGGTATGTTTAGGTCTGCTGCAGCAGAACTCATAAACCCCATTTTTTTCCCCAGGTGCTCTGTCCCAGGGAGTTAGGGCTTTACAGCTAGTGCTCGACTTACAACCACGGTCAGGACCTTGGACCGGTCGTAACACGATTTGGTTGTACGTTGAGTAGGCTATATGTACAGTTGAAATGGTGCACGCGGAGATGGTAGTTCTGCCGGAAGCTGGTCCGCACTGTCGTACGCCCAGCTGGGCAACGTTTGCGCTGCCAGACGTGGAGTAGTCATGGCTAGCGATTGTGGTCGTAAAGTCAAATGGTCGTAAGTTACATAGGTGGTAAGTCGACCAATACCTGTATTTATGAGTTTCTGCTGTGCTGCTGCCTTTTTTTCAGGGCTGCCCCGCCCAGCAAGGAGGCAGCTTAGTCAGTGTCTGCCTGCAGAGGCTTTGCTGAGCTGCTGTGGGCTCTTCCCAGCTGCCATGTGAACTTCCCTGCAGTCCTGTTTATATGGGTATAGTTAGAACTGTCTTGGCAATGGTGGCCCACCTCTGTAATGGCAGGTTGCCTCGGCAACAGGCGGGCTGCCTCAGCAATGGCAGACTACCTCTGTAGTGGTGGAGTGCCTCGGTAATGGCGGACGCCCCTCCCCCACAGAGCTGGACCATCCCGGGTTCAGCTGTGCTTGCCGTGAAACTCTTAACCCAGAGCATTTCCAATTGCTGTTTTTTTGTGTGTGGGGGTGGGACCAGCTGAGCCTGATTACCTGGCTCCCTGCCTCACAGCGTTTTTTTTTTTTTTTTTTAGTTGAACGGTAGACTCTCTCCCAGGAGTTCCAGTCGCCTGTTGAAAAGGCACCGGGATCTGTGTGATTTCCCCTGCGGCAACTCACTGCGCCAGCTGAAACAGCTGCGCTGAGATTCTTGGCACTTTTTTTGCCCAGGAATCTCCTGGTCTGGCTCCCTGTTTCAGTCCCCTTTTTAATCAGATGAATGGGCGACTCTGCCTTCCCGGGGCTCCAATTGCCAGCTAAAAGGGCACCCAGACCAGTGTATTTTGTACAGGGAACTGCCGCGCTGGGGCGTGGGCAAAGCCCCTGCGCCAGCCAAAACAGCCATGCTGGCCACCCGTGGGGTTCCTCTGCCTGGGAATCTCCTGGTCTGTGGGCAATAAATATCCGTCTGGAAATGCAGCATCCACTCACCCTCTGCACTTTCGCTGGGAGCTGCAATCCTGAGCTGTTCCTAATCGGCCATCTTGGATCTTCCCCTTAATACTCTTCAGCTTCCTGTCTTTTTAGAGCTCCTCAGGTGGTCATTGTGAATCAGCAACCTGCTCTCAGATGTAATAAACACACAATACAGTTTTTCCCTAGAGTTTACTTATAAGAAGAATCTCACAAATCTTAAAGGAGTGAGACTGTGTTCCGAACTTCACAGAATATCATCTTTAGAGCCAGTCATAGTGGATTGAATCCTTGTTTGTAATGCCTTGTGTTTCATGGTACCCAGAACTTTCCCTTCCATCAAATGGCTGAATTTGATAAAGAATAGCATTCAGCAAAAAGTATTAATGCATATCTCCGCTGGTTTTTAAAATGACGGGTAAATGAGAACATCTCTGTTTGCTAAAAACCTAGACCAATAATTAACGTATTAATCAACTTTTTTTGGCCACAGACTTTTCCCTTCCTGTCTTTCCATGAGTAAAATTAATTTAGTTTTTAAAATTTCATTTCCACTTCTATTGCATGTAGTTCATTATTGCCTTTTATCACATTTTATCTGTTCTTAAGTTATACACGAAGTCAATGAAAAAACCTGCCTCAGAATAGAGTAATAGTTTATTTCATAGACTGTTTGACCTTTAGGTTCTTGTTAGGGCCAGGCATGGTGGCTCACGCCTGTAATCCCAGCACTTTGGGAGGGTGACGTGGGCAGATCACTTGAATCCAGGTGTTCAGGACCAGCCTGGGCTACATGCCGAAACCCTGTCTCTACAAAAAATAAAAGAATTATTTGGGTGTGGTGACACACGCCTGTAGTCCCAGCTACTGGGTAGGCTGTGGTGAGAAGATCGCTTCAGCCCTGGAGGTGGAGGTTGCACTGAGCCAAGATTGCAACGCTGCACTCCAGCCTGGGCAACAGAGTGAGACGCTATCTTTAAAAATACACACACACACACACACGTACGTACGTACGTAAACATTAAGGCTTTCATTATTTTCAAGGGGAAAAAAAGACTTGTGGGTTCTGGGAACATAGTTGATGGGGCCAAACTCAGGATGGAGTTTGGAGTCCTAGCCTCTCCCTATATTTGGCCTTGTAAGCAGTTTGTACTACAGCTTTTTTGGTTAATAAATGGGCATCTTTATTTTTTTGAGTCATGATATTTTTAAGCCAGTTAATTAAGGTATTTTTATGTAAGGCATTTTTGTTTATTACTGTTAAATTTCAAATGTATATTTATTTTTAAACTTGCACATTAAAAAACAAAAAAGAGGTTGTAAAAAACCCAGCTAATATTAACAGAACTGCTTTTAGAATAAGGCCATTGCATGTGTACTTTTTGGTATTCAAATAGCAACTAAAACAGTTTGGGATTTCATTCAAGGTAAAGGACCGGGAACATTTTTGGGGAGTCACTCAGTTTAAAGAGGTATTGTTCATCACAATTTTTATCAACTTCTCTTTTTTTTTGAGACAGAGTCTTACTCTGTCACCAGGCGCCAGGCTGGATTGCAGTGGCACAATCTCGGCTCACTGCGACCTCTGCCTCCCGGGTTCAGGCAATTCTCCTGCCTCAGCCTCCTGAGTAACTGGGACTACAGGCGCGCACCATCACGCCCAGCTAATTTTTGTATTTTTAGTAGAGATGGGGTTTCACCATGTTGGTCAGGATGGTCTCAATCTCTTGACCTCATGATCTGCGCACCTTGGCCTCCCAGAGTGCTGGGATTACAGGCTTGAGCCACCGCACCCCGTCTTTTATCAACTTCTAATTGTAATTTTGGAAAAATTACCATTGGGCATTTGGCTTTACGTTTTTGTTTTTGTTTTTGTTGCTGAGACAAAGTCTCACTCTGTTGCCTAGGCTGGAGTGCAGCGATGTGATCTCAGCTCACTACAACCTCCGCCTCCTTGGCTCAAGTGATTCTCATGCCTCAGCCACTCAAGTAGCTGGGATTACAGATGTGCAGCATCACACCCAGCTAATTTTTTTACATTTTAAGTAGAGACAGGGTTTCACCATGTTGGCCAGTCTGGTCTCGAACTTCTGGCCTCAAGTAGTCCACACACCTTGGCCCCCACCAGGCCCAGCGAGCATTAGGTTTTCAACTGTCAGTCTTGTTTGTCAGTACTGCTTATTTCCTTCAGTGGGTATGCTATTACTGCTTTTTCTTTTTCTTTTTTTTGAGACGGAGTTTCGCTCTTGTTACCCAGGCTGGAGTGCAATGGCGCGGTCTCGGCTCACCGCAACCTCCGCCTCCTGGGTTCAGGCAATTCTCCTGCCTCAGCCTCCTGAGTAGCTGGGATTACAGGCACGCGTCCCCATGCCCAGCTAATTTTTTGTATTTTTATTAGAGATGGAGTTTCACCGTGTTGACCAGGATGGTTTCGATCTCTTGACCTCGTGATCCACCCACCTCGGCCTCCCAAAGTGCTGGGATTACAGGCATGAGCCAACGCGTCCGGCCTATTACTGCTTTTTCTAAGCCAAATTCCATTTTGGTTAATCAGATATTGCTAACTGAAATACTTTCCTTTGCAGATATAGTAGATAAAGTTAGATAAAGTACTTTAATCTTCTTGCTCTGTCTACTGTGGGAAAGAGAATATGTGAGGGCTCTGAGGATCTTATACTGTGCCTTCCTTGTGAAGCCAAGCCTGTCATCCCTGAGTATCAAAAGCTCTGGCCCAGAACTTTCATAAAGTTTTTGACTGGTGGGAGAAAGTATTCCTATTAAAGAGGGTTTGGGTTTGAAGGGGTATTAATCCAACTCAGATTTCAAAGTCATGTGGTCAAGTAGTTACAAAGTACTTAGTGTGTATATCACCCCATGGTAGACCTCCTGTCCACCCCCATTTCTTTTAAGGTAGATCTCCTGCATGAACTTCCCCCCAGGGTCAGCCCAGGCCATCCTTGGCACACACCCACATCCCTTTTTTTTCTCTGATTCTCCAAGGCAGTGGTTTGCAGTTCTTTTTAATTGGTGATATTATTTTGTTTTATTTGCCTTCCTAATTGAGTTATACCAGAACCTTAAGAAAATAAAGAATCTCTCTCCTTGGAAGAACAGAAAGCTACTACTGTGACCTTTACTTTGTCTCCCCTTAGTACTCCTATGGTATACTCAAAAACAAAAGACTGGCCAGGTGCAGTGGCTCACGCCTGTAATCCCAGCACTTTGGAAGGTCAAGGCAGGTGAATCGTTTGAGGTCAGGAGTTCAAGACCAGCCTGGCCACCAACATGGTGAAACCCTGTCTCTGCTAAAAATACAGAAAACTGAGCCAAGTGTGGTGTCATGTGCCTGTAATACCAGCTACTTGGGAGGCACAGGCATCAGAATCGCTTGAACCCAGGAGGTGGAGGTTGCAGTGAGCCGAGATCACGCCACTGCACTCCAGCTTGGGTGACAAGAGTGATACCTTGTCTCAAAAACAAACAAAGACTTATATTCCAGCTCACTGCGTAGAATTTGAGCCACTTGGTTGCCTAGGTGTGGTCACTCATAGCCGGTTTTTTTCTGCAGGATTTTCAGTCAATGCATCATCGGAGCGACTCAACATGGGTGAAATCGAGACGTTGGATGACTACTGAGCGCCTGCCGGTGGACTGGCCTCCCCTCTCCTGTCTGCCGACCATGGAGCCTCCACCTTTGGACACAACACTTACTCACCATTTACTCTTTATCACTCTGCAACAAATCACAGAACCGATCATCTCAGGCTTTTTCTTCTGGCCCTTTGTGTCCAAGATTCTTTAATCCATTTTTGTTGGTGAACATCTCAGACCATAGATAAGCGGACTGGACCGTGTGTCTTGGGGGTGGCAGTTGGGAGTACTCCCCAACAAGGCTGATTTTAGGCAGCATGTGTTCACTGTACTGTGATTTCATCTACTGTCTCCCAGAAAGTGTGTTGGGATCAGCCATTAGCAGCTTGCTTTCTCTTGTCACTTTTTTTCTTCTATTTTGTTTTTTCTTCTTCTTTTTCCCCCATCAGGGCAAGAGGTCTAACTGGTGCAATCATGAAGAGAGTTAATGATTAACAGACATTGGCCAGCAACGAAACACCCCACGGACTGTGACTCGGGTATCTAACAGGCAGTCAGAGCTCTCCCAGTCTGAAAGTTGCATTGCCACTGCTAACTTTGGGATTGCATCGAGAGGCCCTGAGTGGGGTTGTGATGAGGTTGGATTGGTTTGATGTTACACACTCCTCACCTGTTCTTTCTGAGCATCCTTTCTCTGAAAGAATTTATGTTTTTCTTCATTAGATAGTGACTTCTGAGCAAGCTGATCTCCCCTGGCATACTCCAACCTGATTGGACAAAGGAAGCCCTATGGCCTGGGAGAGAGACTATTCTTAATTTTTCTTTCTTACAAAAACTGATTTTTCCCATAAATATTTTTACTTCAGAGGACTAGGACCAGTTTGTTTTGGGCCCTTCTGCTGAAAATTTGTCTCGTTTAAGAGGCAGCTAGGATCTTTACCATATGTATGAATTTGTATAATTTCATTTTTGGATAGGGATAAACTTTTGCTTCCGATAAAAGCCTGGAATTTCATCTGGTTCCTCAGAGCATTGCGTGTGTGTGTTGCTGTAGCCTGGAAAAGGTTTTGTTAAAAGATTCTGGGATGGCAAGTTGCTTGCCTTTTCTGAAAAGAGAACATACAAAACCTGACCATCTTTAAGACCTTCATCCATGGAATCCACTATACAGGAGGATGCAGTGGGCTGGAGGGGATGGGCAAAAACGGGAGCAGGAAGCCTGACCTGGCTTCTTTCTGGTCATGGCCTCCTAATACCTTTCACTTCAAGTAGAAATGTACTCAAGCCCTATTTATAAACAAATACTCTTCCTGCCTCCACCAAACCCCTACCGAATATCACCTGGAATTGCCACTCACACTGGGTTGGAGTCATTGGGCAGCTGTGCCTGTGCCAGAGGTGCTGTGGTCTGGGCAGCCCCTGGAAAAGCACCTTTGCTTCCTGTCATTGTTGCCTCAGAAGGCCGGAGTTGCTCTGAGAGCAATTTGGGTTTGGAGTATTATATTTGGCTTCTATTTTTATTATTTTGGATCACCATTATCCCTATCCCTTCTTGCCTCCCTCCCTTCTAAACATGTACAATAACTATACAGAGACTGCTACAAAATTGTATATAGTTTTTGGATCAAATAGCATGAGGGGAGAGGAAACCATTAAAAAATTAGGGCTCCTACTCTCCTTTGCTTTGTAAATTCAAAAGTTGGGGGTGGGTAAGAGGGATAGTTAAAATGTTTACAAAACTTTAGGCTCCCTCGGAACTTTTGCCAGCGTGGAGGAAAATAAAAAAGAACTTAAATAAAACCTGGTTGTATTCTGAGTGCACCTCTTGTACTCACCTTTATGGAGACTGAGTTCTGCACTAAACTGTTGCTCTCGGTATCATGGAAAAGCTCCAAGCACCCGAGACATGGAGGCAGTCATGGCTTCTTTCTCTACCAGACCACACAGAACTGGCTGGTTCTGTATTTGAGAATGTAGAGGTCAAGGCAGATGTAGGTAAGTTGACCAAGTATCTTTTCTCTTTTGACTCTGCCTTTCTGCTAACATGTGGGTCAGCACCTGCCCACATGCCACAGACACACACCCTCTGCAAGCACCCCTCCAGAGCCTGCCCACACCTCCCAGCTAGACTCCGTGTGTGTATTCAGGAAAGATGAAAATACATTTTTAAAAATTGGGAGTGGAGTGGGCAGATGAGGGGGGAACAAAGTCATTTTGGTCATGGAACATCCATTTGCTTAACCAAGGAGACTCTTCCCTGGGAAAGTTTGTTTCTGTCTCTCTCAATTCTACTCTCTTTCATATTTTTATTTGCTCACCCTTTCACTTAAAGCCACCATTTTCTCATCCCATTCTAGGAACTTATTTCCAAATTCTCCTGACTTCCTGAGTTTTGGAGTATTTGTTTTGTACACTGTTTGCTTCTAGTGTTTTGTTTGGTTGGCTTTTTTGGAGATGGGGTCTTGGGATGTTGCCCAGGCTGGTCTCAAACCCCTGGGCTCAAGTGATCCTCCCACCTCAGCCTCCTGAGGAGCTGGGACTACAAGTGTCTGCCACCATGCCCAGCTCTAGTTTTGTTGGTTGGTTTGTTTAAATTCAGAAATTTAAAAACATCCCAGACAAGACAGTTTGATGATGGAGACTTTCCCCAGGCAGACTGGTGTGCTGGTGGCTGCTGTGTATAGCAAATCCCCTCCAGGTGGCTTCCAACAGCTGCTTCGTTCTGTGGGTCAGGGATTTGGGTAGGGCTCAACTGAGTAGTTCTTTGCCTAGGGTCTTCTTTGGTTTTGATCACAAAACCAAAGGCTTTTTCTAGGGCTGCATTCCTGTGAAGCCTTAACGAATTAGATGAGCTGTCCAAAATGGCTCACTTGCGAAATGATGGTTGACGTTGGCTGTAGGCTGGGAACTCATCTGGGTTGATGGCTGGAGGTGCTATGTGTGTCCTCTCCAGAATGGCAGCTTCAGAGGAGTTGAACTTCTTAAGTAGTGGTTGGCTTCCCCCAGAGAACCAGGCAGAAAATGTGTTACCTTTTTTGAGCTCTAAGTTCAGGAGTCACATAGTCACTTCGTGACACTGTATTCCATCAAAGTAGTCACAAGCCCACTCAGATTCAAAGGGAAGGAGCATGGGCCTTTCCCCCCAACTCCCCTTGATGAAAGAAGTGGCAAGGTCACATTGGAGAAGAGCATGGGGGATGGGAGATATTACAGCCATTTTTGGGAAATATCTGCATAAAATGGGTTTATGCATATACATGAAGGACTTTTTTTTCATTGGCTTTAAGTCGAGGTTTTTGATTTTTGTTTTGGAGATAGGTTCTTACTACGTTGCCCAGGCTGGTCTCAAACACCTGGGCTCAGGTAATCCTGTTGCCTCAGCCTCCCGAGTAGCTGGGACTGCAGATATGTACCAGTACACCCAGCTTGTTTCTGTTTTTTAAATGTTAGGATAGATAATGGTACTTCTGGCTTTATTTAAATAATTTTTTAGGGAAACTATTGTATTTATACATGCATATATTTTTATATATACATATATGTATATAAAAGTATATGTTTTACATTTTCAATATATAATATATACGTATATGTTATATACGTATATATATTGCACCCTACTTTAAAATTGACCTGATAACGAAACGTAATTTTGTATAAAATGCCCAACTGTGCATTAATAAAAGTATGTGAATGACTTTAATTAAACAGAAGTGATTCTTTGAAATGAACATATTTCTATACTGTCCTTCCAATATGTGACAGAGCATTTCCAACAGAGTAGCAGGCAAGCACATTCTTAAGAGAGTAAAGTACAACCAGAGCACATTCCAGATGGAAGTTGGCCTTATAGTTGATGAGTTTCTTAGAACGACAAAAGCCCAGCTATGAAGGGCGACTTTGGTCCTGCGTGAGTTCAGTCTCTGGTGAGGAAGCAGCAGTGCTTTCTAGGACCTTGGAGAGTCTGGAAGCCTTGAAGCAGCCAGATGTGTCATCCTTACTTGCAGGTGTTGCCTGAGAACGATGGACGTGTATAGCTTTTGGTAGTGCTGGTTCTGGACTGGGAGCCTAAACCCTTCAGGAGGACAGTTTCCCTCTAAAGAATTCATCATTGTGAATGTTTTGCAACAAAAGTAACCATAGCAGTGGGGCACCACATGGGAGAAACAGCACCTGGATGCTGGGAAGGAAGAAGTGGGCTCTTTACCTAAGAGCTGATCTTCCACCTAAAAGCTGTCATTGCTTCCCCTTTTATTGCTGCTAAAGTGATGACATCATGGGGTTGGAACTCATGATCACCTCCACACTCGGTTCAGTCCAGCTGATCATAAGAAGCAGAGACATCACTTCCTAAGGACTGTTTACTTGTCCCCCAGTTGTAGGAGTGGAAGGTTAGTTTCCCTTGGCAGCAAATTGCCTTTTTTCTTTGAATTCCTCCTTTAACATGAGAAATGGTCCTGGGAATGGTCAGTGGGTTGGTATTGGGTTTGGTTGCATCTGACAAAAATGGCAAAGCAAGAGTGACAATAAAATAGCTTATTTTTAAGTGAAATAGGTTATTGGTCCAAGGCTTGTGGGGTGGCCCAGGGACCCAGATTCTTTGTTTCAGCATCCTGATTGTGGCTTTCTTTTTCTGGGTCACTCATGGTCCAAGGTGACTCTTACAGCACCAGCCATCATGCCCATATTCCAGGCAAGAGGAAGGAGTGGGGTGAGGCAAACAGCACGCCTTAACTGCTTGGTCAGCCCTGTTCGAGATTTTTGGGAAGTCCTGTCCAACATCTTAAGTCTTATAAGCCAACATAACTACAGTTAGTTGTGGAAGTTTTAGGATTTTAGTTGAGTGCTTTCATCCCCAAATGCCATTGGGAATCCTGTTACTGTGAAATTGGGGAAATGATTGCTATGTTGGCAGTTGCCATCTCTGCCACATTCTTTGCAGTCTTCTGTTTTTAAGTAGGAACATGTGGGATGGTTTGTGCACACTGGCCATGGGAAAAAAGTGCTCGTGGGTATGCCAGTTTTACCTGTGGTCTGAGGCTCTTAGTCTTTCCCAAGGGGGGGACTCAGTAAGCTCTGGTTTCTGTTCTTGTGCAGAGTCAGGGACCCAGAGCAGTTGCCAATGACTCAACTTTACTGTGTGTTGTATTTCCTAATTCTACCTAGAATCTAGGGTTTGCCTTTTTGTTTTGTTTTGTTTTTTTGTTTTGAGACAGAGTTTCACTCTGTCACCCGGGCTGGAGTGCAATAACTCGATCTCAGCTCACTGCAGCCTCCACCTCCTGGGTTCAAGCAATTCTCCTGCCTCAGCCTCCTGAGTAGTTGGAATTATAGATGCCCACCACCACGCCCGGCTAATTTTTGTATTTTTTGTAGAGACAAGGTTTCACCATGTTGGCCAGGCTGGTCTCAAACTCCTGACCTCAGGTGATCCACCCGCCTTGGCTTCCCAAAGTGCTGGGATTACAGGCGTGAGCCACTGCGCCCGGCCTGGAATTTGTTTTTTTAAAGCACCCTATGGAGTGAACCTGGGAGTGGTTTTGTGCATGAGAACCCTGGAATCAAACTGTCAGATTTGCATGTTGATCAATTACTTGGGGCAAGTTTCTCTCTGTATTTTTCTCCCATCTGTGAAACGACAACTATCAGGGAGTTGTGATGAAGAAAATTGTAACTACATAGTACATTCCCAGCACAGAAGTGCTTGACAAGGCTGGGAGTGATGGCTCACACTTGTAATCCCAGTACTGTGGGAGACCAAGGCAGGTGGATCACCTGAGGTCAGGAGTTCGAGTTCAGCCTGGCCAGTAAGGAGAAACCCTGTCTCTACTAAAAAATACAAAAATTAGCCAGGCATGGTGACACCATCTGTAATCCCAGCTACTTAGGAGGCTGAGGCAGACCAGGAGGTGAAGGTTGCAGTGAGCAGAGATTGCACCATTGCACTCCAGCCTGGGCAACAGAGCGAGACTCCATTAAAAAAAAAAAATGTTTATCACTTGTAGTCCATTTTGCAAGTGAGAAGGGCATTCATGGGCACATATGTCGATGCAGTAGAGCATGTGAAATCAGGGTAAACACCTTCTTAGATGTCTTACAATTAGTGCAAAGAAGTAACCCTTAGAGAGGCAATGTGGTATGGGTTCCAGAAGGCTGCATTTTGGCACCAGCCTCATTAACCACTCTTTTCCGACGTGTCTTTAGGCCGCAGTTTCCTTGTCTGTTAGATGAGGGGGTTGGCCCAGATCACCTAAGGAACTTGAAACAAAAATCAATCCCTGAGCTCCATGTCCCAGAGTTTCTAACCTGGGGTGGGACTGTGCATTGGAAATTATTTTCAGATTGCCCAGAGTTCTAAATGGACAGCCTCAGTGGAGACCACCAGCCTAGCTTAGCTCTCAGATTTCAGCTCCGGCTTCCTAGTGTGTGTGTGAGTGTGAGGCATGTGTGCAGCAGTACTGTTGACACTTGCTTTCTTGACGGTGTGTGACAAGTAACCCTTTGCAGTTTTACTGAAGGAGACCCAAGTTGAAAGGCAAGCATGGTGAGCCTTGCACAGGGGAACAGTCACCTGCCTGGATGTTCTGACTTTGGTAACATGGAATGGAGCCTTAAGCAGGTCAGGGTTCTAGTGTGAAACAAACCACCCTAGATAAACGTAAAAAAGGAAAAGAATTGGTGTTTGAAGTGTTGGGAGCAACATTGTGGAAAGTTCTTGAAAGGTTAGTAACTGTAGGGAAGCCACTAACACTGTGTCCACTCATCCCATCCATCAATCCTTCAGTCGTTATGTCCATTTTGAGGTGATAGTAGCTTCAAGT